TTATATAAATTAAATGCCTTTTTTTTGCCTTTTTTTACATTTTAAATGCTTTTTTTTATTGATTTTATTGCCTTCAAATCCGAACCCTAGTTATTAGTCTTATAATGATATTAATTTTGTGTATTTTTTTTTTTAATGTTCAAGCCACTGAGATGAATAACGTTTTTCTTTTTTAATATTTTTGTTATGTTAAAAGTATATTATGTACACCTATATTTAGGTATTTGACTTATTAAAAAAAAAACAGTGATAAGAAGTTTAGTTAAAGGAAATTATCTTGCTGCATGCCTTATCACGGGCCACAGCATAATCATTCGGTTAGGTTATAGGTTGTAACAATCTGTAGTTTTAAGGCTAGTAGAAAGTACCCACGACCTGAGGGAAACACTCAGATCGTGACCTACAAGCCGCACCGCGTGTAGGCCCTAAGGCCAGGTCGGTGGAGCTTGTAGGTTTTATACACACATGAGTGAACTGAAAACTCAAGATTTATTTAACAAAACCTGGAAAAAGGTAACACTAACTAGTTAATTGAAATTATAAGAGTAAGGTTAAGGTAATCAAGTGGTTTATATTTTACATAGGTAAATAATTTAAGTATGACAAATAGTTTTGACACATTTAACAATTTAATATAAAGTAATTTTGTTGAAATATTATATTTTAATGTCATATAACTGATACAAGTTTCTGTAGCACATGGCAAGTGCACTGAATATAATAATTTTTACTAGCAAGTAATATAAGTTTCACATGGCAGATATGGAGAAATTTGAAAGACAATAGTAAGAATCAGCCAGTGATGGTAAAAAATACATAAAAAATGTACATACCTACATTTCATCCCCCCCCCCCTCAAACATGACCAAATTACACCACTGAAAAGTTTTGAATACGTTGGTTGACCACGAGTGGTTTGGAGCATGAAGTCTGCAGCTTTGTGGTAAGTAGACATCTAGTCGGTAGGCCGTTGAAAAAAGAGTGTTGAGACGCCGTAGTTGGCTGGCATGGGAGTTTCTTGCTTCTTGATGAATGGAGAAGGTCAATGTCGGCATTTATGAGATTTTAGCACAATTTATTAATTTCGGGGAAACAGGTTGACCTGTCGGTTCGTACCGCCGGGAATGACAAGGGCCGGGACGATGACGGACGACCCGAGATTAGCGGCGTGTGAACGCCGAACACTGCATAGAGAGGGGTTCGGGGGACTTTAATACATAATACCGTGATCATCACTACAAGAGAGCCCGATATCAGTTGTTCATAATGACCGTTGGACCTAAGTAGGTAAACTCAACGGTATACATTAATAACAAAGGTATGCTCGGGTACTGGTTTTCTAGAATATAATAGGTCTGAAATTCTGTGATATTACAAGGTAGTGGGAAAAAAAGTAAATACAAATTAGTATTAAATATAAATATAAATATAAACTATTAACAGTTCAAAGTATAGCTTAAATGCCTTAAAATGTATGTAAATATTTTGAAAATTTCAACGTATTAATAGTAAATAATAATACATGTAATGATTAATGATTAATGAAAATACTTATACGAGTAATATATGTTTTGACTTTTGAAGTACAATAATTAACAAAATTACTTAAATCATTAGTATACTTTTAAATATCAAATTTCTTGAAGCTTCAAATATCTATAAAAATTATAAGAATATTTTGAGAGTTATAGCATGTACCCGCAATAGACAATACTATATTAGTTTAAAATTTCAAGTATCTATAATAGTATACAGTTTTTTGTTATTGCATTACAACAAAATAATAAAATCAGTTTTGTCTAAAACTTGTCGTTTTTCTATTTTATTTTATGCATTTCAATAAATATAATATCTTGAGGATAGATGAATTTTTTCTGCAATAAAAAAGTCGGGATACCAAATAATAAAAAATAATAAAATACAATTGTAAAATCAATAGGTTTATTCATCTCTCTGCACAGAATCTAAAATAAAGACACCGACTAGATCCATGTATATTCATAGGCGCAACTAGGGTTAACGTTCTTGGGGGGGGGGTTGTAGGTGGCACAGCCAACTTAACAAGACTATTTATTTAAAATAACCCATAGGTGGGCTTATATCCAAATCAATAATGTATATTTGGGGGGAGGGCTAAATTGTCAAGAGGGAGGAACACGCTCCTGCTCCAGCTACACTAGTTGTGCCATTGTGCAGGTTCTTTTATTCTAAGTTAGCTATTAAAAGTACTTTACAAATTGTAGTGGATTTGTACCATGGGGTTGGGTAAAGGTAAAACTTAGATAGGTGGTGTGCTTTGTAGTAGACTACATCGCCCTTGTCAAACTTAATGTTCTGCATCGGTATGACCACTATCTCATTCCCTACTACCCTCTCTTCCTGTGATTTTTTTTACGTCAACTGACTGTGCACGCAAACCTTTTTTTAAATCCTGATTACGCCATTAGACTGGGTTGGCTCTCGGATGGTAAATCGGAATTGTCCAACCCTCCGCTTTCCCAACGTTCTTACGAGTTTAGCATTTTGTTTGATACGAATTGGAGGCCATTATCACTGAGACACCTGGAGTAACCCAAACGTGAGAAGAACTCGCGTTCTAAAGTTTCAATTATGGTTTTAGAGGTAGTTGTTCCTAGGGGGTAAGCCTCAGTCCATCTACTAAAACGGTCGGTTTCTACCAGTATATACGATTTTCTCTTGCCAGAACGTGGGTATGGGCCCATAAGATCGACACTGATCACTTCCCATGGTTTCCGGGTGGTTCTTGGTTGCATTGGGTCAGTTGGATCTGAGTTAAGGGGTTTTGTGCACGAATATACGTGGCACGCACCAACATACAACCTCACGTCATTCTTTTAACCTTTCCAATAATACCGTTGTTGAACCACCTGGTGTGTCTCTTTCGAACCTGGGTGGTTGCATAATACTGGATCGTGACACCTCCAAATGAATTGTAGTGCTTTGGACTCCAGTATAACGATAGGCGTGTTGGGGCCAAAGTTTACACATAAGAGCCCCTCTGCACATATACATCGGTTCCAGTTTTGGTGATCCTGGTATTCGACGTGTTGGACCGTTCAACTTGTAACCTGCAACCAAGTCTCAAATTGTAGAGTCTTCCGACTGCCACATTTCAAGCATGGCGGTGAGTGGTGTGTCGTTACTTTCGTAGTTATCGAACATAGAAAATATACAGTCAGCCTCGAGGTCAATATTGATTGTCAGCGTTGTGGGGACACCTACCATTTTTTCCTCGTATACTGTTGAGCCGGGTGTCGGGTCTTACTAAAGTCTAAATTAGCTACTAGGACTTAGGAGTGACTAATACATGTTAATTTTGATTTTTTGCCTTTGGCCCTATGTAACCACATTAGGGGCGAGTTGTCGGTTAGGAGTTCGAAACGTTGGGTCTCTAGGTATGATTGAAACTTATCCATTGCCCAGATTATAGCAAAGTACTCGCGTTCGACGGCGGAGTACCGTGCTTGTATTTCGCTGAACGTTTTGCTTGAGTAGTTTTGCCTCCGGTCTGACAATTTTTTGGAAAAGTACCAAACCTGCTCCAATTTTGCTCGCATCGGTCTGCAGACAAAACGGTTTACTACCCGTGGTGGGGACAGTTTTGGTAATGTGACTAGCGCGTTCTTGATTGCCCTGAACGCTTGTCGTTCAGCATCGGTCTACTTCCACTTTAATCCTTCTTTCAGCAAATTTTCTAGGGGCACTATGGTGTTCGATTAATAGTCAATGAATTAATTGTACCAATACCCCCAAAATGTTCGTACGTCCTTAACCTTTTTTAAAAAAGAAAAATTGTCGATATAGATCAATTTTTCCTGTTGTTTTTGGATCCCCTCCGAATCTACAATGTGCCCCAAAAATTCAATTTCGCGTAGTCCAATTTTACAATTTTTACGGTACACATTAGTCCGAACCTCTTGAGACGTTCAAGAACTTAACCTTGATGGCCCTGATGTGAGCACTCATTCCTTGCCCCTCATGACCTCGTTCATGAGTCTCATGATAGATATTAGACTATTTCCGAGAACGGAGAGGAGTGATCAGAACTGAAATAGACCTCTATACGTGTCTGAAACCCTTGTATTTTTTCGAATTTCTGAACAGCGCCACTGGCCAATACCCCGACCTGATGTCAAAAAAGCTGAACATTTTTGCACCCCGCATTTTCCTAATCATTTGGTTAAGATCTGGCATCGGGTACGCGTCGGATTCCGTTACGTCGTTTAGCCACCTATTTTCGACACAGAGACGAAAAGATCAGTCTTTTTTCTTTGCCAATACTACTAAAGCGGACCAGGGTGAATTGCTTGATTCTACAAGCCCCTGTAGTTCCATATAGCCCACCGTGTTGTCGATAGTAGTTTGTTTCTTCAACGGGTACGGGTATGGTTTCTCGTGTTCAATTAATTTGGTTCGTCCTACTTTTACGCTAAATACTACAGCGTGTTTTTTTAATGTTTCGGTGTCGTCATCTAATTCTAATTGTGACAAGTGGAGACTAGTGGTGGGTGGTTAAGAGTTCCCTTTCCAGTATGTCAACTTTCCTGTCAACGTGAACTAGCTCCATCTAGATTCATTGTTAACCACACATATTGTGGAATTTAAAAATGCTGCTTCACGTATTAAACTCATAATAGACACGATACTGGAACACATCGCTGCATTGGATGGGCTAACTTCTTACGTGTCAGTGGATTCCCATACTCATTCACATATTCGAAAAACATCTGGATTATGAACTGAGGTCCAGCTCGGAACTGAAAGTCAGCGACAACTATTCCCTAAAAATTAGCGAGGTCGTTAACTTCTTACGCACTCATATCCATTTAGCAGAAGTAGATTCGTATGGTCACACACAAGCGAGCCATGCGATTGAACCTAAAGGGGCATCTCAAATATAAAATTAAGAATCTAAAACTTGACCTTCTCCCAAAATATTAACTACAGGCACTCCTAAGACGATTACTAGAAGCTGTGAAATGTGCAAAGGTACTCAGTCCGTGCGTCAATGTCCGAGCTTTCTCAATGAAACTCCAATCGAACGGTTCCAATTAACGAAGAACCTCAATATCTGTATCAATCATTCATCTAAAACGTACCCCTCTAAAAACACTTGCAAATTCTGTCAAAAGCATCATCATTTACTGCTTAGTTTTATGACAGATAATGCATTAGCCACCGTCACTGTTTCCCCGACATCAAATATAGTATCTGACGCAGTACCTCGATCTATCCTATTATCAACATTACTTGTTAACATTTCATACTCAAGAGGCCCATACTTTCCTAGTACTCTTGGACAATAGATCTCAAGTCAACTTCAACACAAAGAAATGTGATGATCGTGTTTCATTTGCGCGGTGTCGATGTTGTTCCCAGGTGAACAGATGAATGCGGTGTCAGGTTTAACCTTCATCAAATTATTACCAGTGGGAAGGACTGGACCACCCATTCCTCTCAACGTGTTCATTGTATCTAAAATTAAAGAAGCAACATCTCAATCAAAGATTCTATCTTAATTGTGGTCTCGATTGAATAACTTAGACTTAGCTGAACCGGCATTCAACATTCCAGATCTAATATACATTTTACAAGAGGCTTATATCATCCTTACGCTACTCACTGGGACCCTCATCGCAGGTCAACCTTTATAACCAACTCCCATTGATTAATTTTTTGAATGGGTGTTGATTGGGCCAGTCTCATTAAATATACCTATTCAGTGACCTCTTTGTTAATGACCTCTAATCCATCGTTGGAACACCCTCTAACCAAATTTTAGGAATGAAAGAACCATATAATGTTCAACATTTAAGTCCTGATGAAGTTCAAGCTGAAGCAATATTCACTTCTTCAACCAAACACCTGGAATCCGGACGATGCAGTGTTACATTACCATTCAAGCATTCACATCCCATACTGCGGGATTCCAAAAATATAGCTCTCAAACGATCCCACAGCCTTAACATCGACTATCACAAGACCATAATCTCAATAGGCAATATTCGGACTTTATGAGGGACAATCAAGAAAATGAACACATGTAAGTGGTTCCTAAGAGTAATCAGAACACTCCTTGTTGTTATTATATACCCCATCATGGTATTCTGCATCCGGAAAGTGAAACTTCTAAAGCCTAGGTAGTTTTCAAAGCTGGTCAGTCTTTGAATACCATCTAGTATACCGGAAGAAAGCTACAATAGATACTCGTAGCTGCACAATTTTAATTCGTGCAGGATTACATAAGTTTTTGTTAACTGTGGTTGACATTAAGCAAATGTTTCGTCAAATTGAAATCTATCACATCAATCGGGACTACTTGCGAATTTTGTTTCGTTTCAACCGTGACTTACTCATAGATGAATATCGATTATGTACAATTACATATGGCACTTCCTGTTCTCCATATCAAACACTACGTATGTTACAACATTTATCTAAGATTGAAGGAGACAGATTCCTAGTCGCAGCCAATGTGATCTTGAACCATACGTTTGTTGATCACATACTCACAGACGATAGTTCCGAAGATGATACCTTATCTTGTCAACAACAGGTAATTGCATTGTGTGCTCAAGAAAAATTTTAACATAGGATGTGGGCTAGTAATTTATCCAGCATCTTACAGTAGGTACCCACCAGTGATTCCTAAATGTCCCACTCGACGATAAAGTGGATGAGAAGTGGAACCATAAGCAAGACCATTTTTCGTATAACTGTCTGGCTCCAAGCAGTATATACACCAAACGGTCAATCTTTCCAGATATGGCACGCACTTTTGATGCTCTAGGTGTTTTGTCACCCGTTACATTAATGCTTAAATTCCTAATACAACTCTTGTGGGCGTCCGGAATCTATTAGGACGATCCCATTTCTGAATACCAACAAGAACTGAACTCTATAAATGACCTGACATTCCGAGTCGAATCACATAAGATGGTCACCCAACATATGAGTTGCCTTCTTTTTCGGATAGCTCCAAAAAAAATGTACATTTTGAGTGATTCAATGCTACCTTATCTTAGCAAACTCAAAAGTAGCTCCTTTAAAACGTGAAATGATTCCATGGCTGGAACTTAGTGGGGCGTTACTAATTTCCAAATTTTTACATTTAGTACATACAATACTATCACCTATATCAAAAATAGATAGCATTGAGGCCTGGACTGACTCTACTACAGATCTGGCCTTGATCTTCGACTCATCGATGGACGACTTTCAGTGTAAACCGAACTAGTCAAATACACACCACCATCTACTTAGTGGGGCTCTCATCGCTGCCAAAAAGTATACATGTTGTGGTGGGGTATTGCAATCCACGACCATTTATGGGAGCCCAAAATGTCGCTTGCGACAGGTGAAGCCATTCATGATAACAGACTTTGATTATGCAGGTCCAATAATATTTAAGTCTTCCACGACTCTCTGTAATGTGTCAAGTCAGGCATATATTTGCCTTTTTATGTGTTTGATGACAAAGGCATTACATTTGAAATTATCGCCGGACTTAGCTACGGAAACATTTCTGATGGCTTTCTGTCACTTCATTACAAGACGTAGGCTGGTTGAACAAATGTCGTAGGCGCAGAAAATCTAGACCAATCAGTCAATCAATTCACGCAGTCGAAAGAGTTTCAAAACAAATATCATAATTATCTAATTTCTAGTAATATTAGCTGAAATTTGAACACCTCACTTTGGATGACTTTGGGAAGCTGGTGTAAAATCGGTAAAATCCTTATTGTATTGAACGCTTGGGCTTCAACGGCTGAATAATAAAAAACTAAATACCCTATTGAGTCGCATTGTCAATATTCTTCTGTCCCATTTCCAACGATGGAGAATTATTCAGGACATTCATGCTCATTTTTGGAACGTTGGCAGACAGAATACTTGCAAAAGCTTCAAAATCGTACCAAACGGACAACTTATAACACAAATTTGAAAACTCACCCTTTAGTCCTCATTCGCGAACCAAACAGTCATTGAAAATTGGACGGGTTCTTCAACTAAACCCGACGAGGATGGGATTTATCTAGTCCAAACAGCGACTTGAATCATAAAGACACCTGTCGTTGAGATCTGTCTACTTCCAATATGTTAAATTCTGGGATACATCAGTCCATAATTAATCTTAAACTATTATATCTCAGATGTTCTGGAGAAGCTAGAGCACTCGTTTTTACGTGTGGTGAATATAAAAAATAAACCAACGGCCACTACCACTTTTTTACGATGAACTGGAGCTTAATGACAATAATCAAAACATTTTTAATATTTCTATTCTGTTCCACAATATTATTGATCCATCCAGTACTGTCGTTAGTCGCCTGCAGTAGCGTACGCAGGATTTTTCAATGGGTTGGAGGGGGGGCTTGAAAATGAATTAGAATTTTACTTTTATTTCGTCCAGTCTAATAATTGCAGACGTTTAGGTGAGGTATTTGAAAATGTTTTTACGACTTCAACTTCTCAACTTTTTTAGTAGAAAAAACGCTTTGATCATAAACTTCAATGGAGGGTTTTGAAAGCAAATTGGATCTAGTTCGTACTTTTGGGAGATCGAAATTGAAAATTCTCAGTATTTTGTGTCTTTGCCTTAATTAAAAAAATGACCAGAAGTCCAAATGACAATTATTACACAGTGTCTCGTGAAGGTGCTTGCAATAGAGATGGGTGAACACGTCTGAATACAGGCCATTACGGGGTACCTCTTATAATCCGGTTCCCGCTAAAATATAGCCCAATGTATATTTTCCTATTAAATAAAAAAAGGATATTAATTTTACATTTATAATTAAAATTCTTTAAAATACCTCTAGTGTCAAATGTTTGTTCATGTTTTCCTGTTTCAACGCCAAACAAATTAATTTTACCAGAATGACTACCGGAAATAATGTAGTTGTCATCTAGTGAAAATGCAATAGTCCATATTATTTTCATCAATTCCAATTGAGAATGTTTTTATTTTCTCTCCTGTCGTAGTGTTCCATAACATTAACGTGGCATCTAATGCACTGCAATTATTATCGATGCATCTGAATTCAGTGCAACAGATAGCACACCTTGTGAGTGTTCGCTAAGAGTTTTGTCAATATTGAGATTGGTCGCCTTATCATAATTCCATATTTTCACAGTTTCATCAATGGAACCAGTAACTATACAATCAGATGAAAGTTCTTGTACTTCTTCGTCGGACTCATCATCTTTATCAAAATCGTCTCGATCTATAGTTTTTGTAGTTCGCAATTCACCCCAACCGCATGACCAAATACCATCGTCGTGAGCATTGCTGTGTTTATAGGCTAACGTATGCATTTTACGGTACTAAAATTACTCACTCGACATGAAATTTACAAATTAACTATACAATAATTACATGTATATCATCAAGAAATAATTTAACTGCATAAAATAAACACTAGACTATAAACTTGTATTACTTGTAAGTACTTGAAAATCAGCAACTGAAATGTAGGTTTTTTATTTTTATGTAAATTGTGATAATGTGATTTCTAATTCGTAAACATTGCAATTATTTTGTAAACAGTCTGTGTTATTCAAATGAAATGTTTTATGAACATAACCTAGAACCACGAATTAAGATATACCTTAATTCGTGCCTAGAACTGATGAACGATATTGTCAACTGTGTTATACGTTATTATTGTAAAGAACATAAATTGTAAGACGGCGTATTAGCTATGCAATTTAATTACTTGCATGTCCCGGTGGCTTAAGAACGATAAGCATTTTTTATTTTTACTGATGTTGATTATTTGTGCTCCGGGTAAATATTAACTAGGTACATGCCTCGAGACGTCGGTTAGTAATATATGGTAGTTTGGAGCACATTGTGCACATGTGTGTCTCGAACTTATTTTTATCGGGTCGCGATGTCGCGTCGTTTGTCGAAACTATAACACTGTACGTTATCCATTGAGTTATTAGAATACATTAATTTTGGTATGCACCTATAACAAAATTAATATTTTTACCATCTTACATAAGTATCTTATACATTTCTTGTGCACCACCTTAGGTGAACCTCACGAGCTGCCACTGCTGTAGTTTATTGTATATGAATGACACTTATAATAACATAAAATATTCAATTATCAATAATAATAATTAGTAAATCAAAATTATAAGCTATATACGTCTATTGTGGATAAATATGTAAATAAAAAAAAGGATTAAATAATTATACCTAGTTTATATAAATAATGTTGAGTAATAAGCTGCAAAATATTTAAATTAAAAAAAACATGTTCCTTTTAGTAACTATATTATATTACTTAATTAAATTATTTAATCAATTAGTCTGAAAATTGTCTACTTTATATTATTATGTGATCGATAGTATATTATAGTTTAATTAGTTAACACTTTTTTATACAATATGTAATACAGAAAAGAAAAGTAATCTATGTTTTATAAAAAATTAAAAAGAGTAAAGTGACGTGACTAGCTCTTCTGTACATAATTTTGAAGTAGGTACTTATTTGAAACAAACGGACGCTATTTTTTTTATCAACTTTTGGCCCGATACTTCTTTTCTGGTGAGAAGGAAATCTGTTAAGCAAAATATATAATATGATTAAAAACTTGAAATTTGTTGGACAGACATTCAAAGGTATACTCTAAATAACCTTAGAAATGTCTCATTTGAGTAGGAAATGTAAAGTAATAGGTACATTTGACAGTTTAATTTCAATACCTATTATATAAATTATAATCTATTAGATACATTACGAAAGATTGTTTATGTGGAATCTAAATAAATATAAAATATAAATTGTTTGTTGTGATTTATCCATTCAATGTGTTAATAAATAATATGTTACATTATCATGATCTGAGAAAAGATTACCTATATGAAATTAAACCGTTAATAGTATAACAGAATAGGTACCTACCTACTTATATTATAATATAGTTATAGTAAAGACTATATTTGAGACGTTAAGGATCTTAAATTGTGGCTTGATGCATCTTTAGTTATATATCTATACACTGTGATGGATGGTAATCGAATTAACATTTAAGCTATAAACAAAACCATTATAAATATATAAATATAATCGAATGGAAGGCCAGTGGGGAACAGCTAATTTAATTAAATGAGATCATTTATCCTAGCTCTAATATTGTGCTACCTAACATACTTACCTATAATACATGTTACACATAAAAATAAACATAAAAGCTACTCAATTTATCTTAATTAATGAATCATTATTTATTATAGAGAAAGCATGAAACAAATTTAAAAAAGCATTTAAGCGTTCATGTTGATTTGTTTGAAGAAAACAACTTGAATTTAAAAAAAGCCTTGAAATAACAATTTAAAGACCAATTTGAAAAGTCAAGCACATCAAAGACTGTTAAACTTTTCAAGACCAAATGTACAAGTTTCGACAACTATGAAAGATATTATAGATGCCTATGTTGAATTAGTCACGGTGAACTGGCGTCCATTCAGTATGTTAAATGATTCAGGACTGAGCAAGATATTAGATACAGTTTTGAATGGTGTAGAAAATAGTGTTTTTACTAATTCAGAGTCCATAAAGTTAGATTGTAACTCAGTAAATAATACTTTTAATAATTTAAAATTCTGTCCTTATTTCATAGAAAATATTTACACTAAGAATTTGATCAGATAAAAATAAACAATAATTAAAGACATACAATTTAAGACTTAAGTTTATAAGTTTAAAATTAGATGCAGTCATGCAGCTGGACAGAGCATTCCTAGGGATAAACATTAAATATGTAGTAGATTATAGTTGTATTGTACTAAAGACAATTTTATTGGCTTAATAGTCCTGGTCTTGATGATGGAGAAATGTTTAATTTATTAAATGAAAACTTTGATGATGTTGATGAATAATTTGAAAAAACAGAAAAAATTTTAACTGATTACTGAAAATACTAGTGATGAGATTTTTAATGGTAAGTTATAAATTACTCTTCGAAGGCTACAAATAAAATAATAGCAGTGACTTTTTAAATGTTATGTTAACTATAGTTATTGAAACTCACAAATAGTTCATTAAGTATAATTCATAGTTTAAAAAAAATTACAAACACATATTTTCACTCATTTAAAAATATTTAAATTAAATAAATAAATAATATTATTATATTTTAATATTTCTTGTGATATTATGTAGTAAAAGCACAACTAGGACCAAATTTTTTTTATATTGGGGCTGTAGCTCTTCTATTTTTTCTTTGTGATACTGTGTGGACATTTCCCCACAGCCTTTACTAAGTTGGTATATTTGCAAATTAATTGTTATAAATATAAATTTACATGAATATTGATATTTATTTTATAATATTTATCCAGTAAGACTCACTATGCCACCTCCATTTTTTTCTCTAATAATAATATTTATTAAAATTCTGATTATCGGAATTCTCAAATATACTTGAGGACCCTGTTTTAATTATTATTATTTAGATTTTTAAGTATAAAATCAGGTGAACACTTTATTGTAAAAAAGATTGGTTCTCGTTTAAAACTTTTAACACTTCTTAAAATTTAAATAGTGCAACCAATTTAAGCATTTGCCTAATTTGAGAAACAGCCTTGCAGCACACCTGCTCATTCGTAGACCATTTAATTATTCATTGAAGAAATCATTTTCCGTTACTTATTATCCAATTCAATAATTCAATAATAATTAAGAAGGGAGGCTTAGCCCCAATTTAGATAAATACAAATGAATGCATTTATTATCAAAATACTATCATAATTAAAATATTATTCCATAGGTATATGTTTTTCTCCTGTTATTTTTATAATATTATACAGGTAATTTAATAATTATGACACGATATACTTTGAGTACTGACTGCATTTTATATTTTTATGCATCAGCAGCTAAATTAGCACAAAGATTTGTTTTATATTTAAACTTTAAACTTATGTTATTAATTTCATCCAATTGGGATAGAATATTTAGAATTAATAGTTTTCTCATTTTATTGCAGGTATTTGCTGTGTTGCTCATACTCTTCAATTAGCAGTAATTGATCGTCTCAAAGGTAGTACTATTGAAAAACTATTAAACAAGGTGAGTTTTAGTGAAGAAGCTAAGAAACCAAACTGACTTATATATCTTATTAAAAAATAAAAATTGAAGACACCAGTGCTAGACTGATTGACTAGATGGCATTCTATCTTGGACATGCTTGAAAGAGTACAATATTTAAAACCTTTTATTTTAAACATGTCAGCTAATGATTCAAAATTGAACAAATTGTGCACAAGTAATTTTGGATGGCAACAAGTAGATGCCCCTGTGCAAAGCTTTACTACCTGTCAAGATATGTACAAAAAAATTGCAATCTGAACATGAACTGATTTTTGTGGAGCATTGCTAACTTGTAAAATTCAAATACAGCCATTGAATACAAATTTTTCAAATATTTAGCACAGTGTTTAATTATAAGAGAACAACATATAATGAACAACAAAGTTTTATTATCCGCTATATATTTGGATAAACGTTTTAAAAAATATTGACTCAATAACAGTCCTCTATTGCTATTGAGCACTTCCTTAATGTCTGGATCCATATAAAATAATTAGAACAAAAATAAATCGAGTTTATTGGCTCTATGAAAAGTCAAACTATAGAAGTCAATGATAATTATTCAATGGATGATTCAGATGAACTTTTCTTCGAGGAAAAAATAATGAGTCCCCTTTAGGCTTCAACTCATCATATCAAGGTTCCATAGGTACTAGAATGGAAGCACCTCTTAAATTGTATTAAATTGATCAAAAAAGGCTGAGCCATAAATTAGATATTTTGAAGTTTTGAAAAGAAATGGAAAACACATTCCCAGAGATTGATGAACTAGCAAAAACAATTTATTATCTTCCTTTTACACAATTAAGTGTGGAGAGATTGTTTTCATATTGTCTCCTTATCGAACCAGTGTGTCGTCTAAAAATTTGGAAGATTATTTACCTACTAGTTAGGGCTAACAGGCTGTTTTAAAATAAAAAATACCCAAAATAGTAGGTATGTATAAATATTTTTATGTATTTGGTAGGTATATCCTAGTAATTTAATATTATATTAATATTTAAAAATACATTTTTTATAGAAAAATAAGTATTCAACATTTGTTAATAGTCAGAGCTTTATCTACATAGAATATTTTATCCTGATCAAGAACAACAAAATGTTGTGTTGTCTAAAAAAAGAAAAATAATAATTGATAAAAAATATATATTATGTTTTATTTGTAATTAGTATACAATAATATATTACATTATAACTGTTTGCATTTTA